TGGTCATTACGCGCTTCCAAGCGAATAGCCCCGTCCATCTTTTCCGTTCTCCTCTCCATATTTCTGTAGTCCTGTGTTTTCTACGTATCATTTCAGCTGTCCTGTCCATTCTCCTCATTTTTGAAATATTGAGACTTTTATGAGTGACGAAGAAACACTCTTCCACTGTGCAACTACTCTTCCATGAGTATTTGGTAATCGGTTTCACAAATCGATTTTTCTTATATGTCCATTCCATAAGATAACAATCATCCATCACAGTGAGTGAGAACGAACCAACAATCAATTCCTTAGGCAAAATTCATACTGACAGACTTAAGACCTTATTCCATCGCTCTACTGTTGTGTATAATTTCCTTAAGATATTGTTCGTTGAAAAATGGCCTCAATATCTTGAAGTTGTAAAAGGAAACTCAGTCACGGAGAGCACTAGTGTATATTGTGGAGGACCACAGAAACTTAATACACAAATTCTCAGTTTTTCAAGCACGTCGGTGCTTGAAATGCGGAAGTTGACGGAAAAATTAGGTTCCCAGGATCGACTTTCTATCAACCTCGGCATTGGAATATGAATGCGTCGTTTTCTTGTTCAGCAACTCATTGGAAGTCACGTAAAAAGCGGCTCTGAAGAAGACGATACTGCCGAAACGTCAGTGTTGTATTGTATTGTATTGTTTTTTTCTATGGAAGTAAATGTATGCTGTTTAAAAACCTCGCGATTGCTGAACAAGGAAAAATTAGGTCTTATAGGTTTCACGGAACTTCAGTTTCATAGAGAAAGAAGAGATCTATATTGTTTGAAAAAAGATGCCGATTCTAATGGTTCTTTTTTCAGTCGATATACTTCGAAATAAGGTGTGTCCGTTTAAAGTTATGAAACGAAATTATTTACGGCAATTTAGCGATATATTTATTTATATGATCTTATAAATTGATCTTCTTAAGTTGACGCGAGGTTGGTACAGGTCTTCGTTATCGTTGTCGTTGTCATTGTTGTTGACGTTGAACAACGACAACGACAATGAAGACCTGTACCAACCTCGCGTCAGCTTAAGATCAGTTTATAAGGTCATATAAATAAACATATCAACTATCTATGCCGAAGTTCATAGAAAGTCGGCCTTTCGAATTTAGCGATAGTTGGAATGCAGTAGAAACGTCTCCGATCTCCATAAATGGTAACTTTCTCCTCGGCGGCTACCATCTTCGCCAGCAAGTGAGTCTGTCGCCCGAGTAATGAGCCCGTCCAAAAGACAATTTGTAAATTATCAAGTATAAAGAGTAGATTTTCGGATCCGATGCCAGCACATGATCTGCGTTGGATAAGCTGTCGATTGAATATAAGAAGTTCGACAGAAAAGCAGTTCATGGCAAATTAAACGGCTGTAAAAATGAGTAGGTCAATTTGTTGCAGTCCCACTCACGTCGACCATTACTTCAACCCACATATGAGTGGGAATCCGCTCACATATCTTTCTACATGTTAAGAACAGTCCATCCACAATTCATATAAAGGATAAAGCGCTCGGCATTGATCAATCCCACAACGAGGCATGATGAATTGGACTATATTAGGCATCATAATTATGATTAGGTCCATGTTTGGGTCCTACAATGATTTACTGAAAGATCAGGTAAGTGGTTCTCCTTCCAACAGACACTAAATTTCTAACCGCAAAGAGGTGAAAGTCTTAGTTTGTCAACAGCGCGATATCAAACAAACGGCAACTTATGTATTTCAGGGTCATTTAAATCAGTTAGGTTTTTTCCTAATTTATTAAGATGTTATACCTTAACTGTAACACTTCTAACAGATTCATCGCTTCCTTGATAGCATGTTAATGTGGCTGCATTTTTAACAAATAGTAGGAGTAATGGCATGAGAAGAGGATGCTTATCTGAAAGGATTCAACATAATCTTCATAGTTCATATTCATAGTAATCTTCATGACTATAAAACACGAGAGCGATCAAAAGGGCACGAGAGATAATGGTGTCTCTCCGGTAAGCTGCGATGCCAATCTGAAACCTACTCGTAATTTTACCTTGGTACTCTAGAGAAACGCTCGGTCGGCAATTTACCAGCCTCATTGTACCGCATAGTAAGTACCGCCATCAAGAGATGAGAAAGACAATGGGAGTCGACCTCTTGGTTTGCGTAGGGCAACAGTGCAACCGAACAGGAGCAATACTTCTTGGAGTGCACTACGGATTTCCGTATCTACGATACAGGACCATTTTCATCTGCCGATCGTCATACTTCACTCGAGGTTACAAATCAAGTACCATTAAATCACCCAGCATGTGCAAGAATCAAGTAGATGCCAAGTAAATGAACAGCCCCTTACAAATCGAGAGTAAAGTCTTGTAACGAATTATCCTTGGAGTGGACTTTGTCTTACATCCTTCCGCCATCCATCTTGTCGATTCACACAAGTTTATTCTACTATGCACGTTCATGATTCATCCTTGCACATCCAGGAAGATTACTATCATAAGATGAAATTCAGCAACCTAGAAACAGAGGAGAGCGAAGAAAATGCGTTCTTTAGTTAGCTAGGTGAAGAATCCGTAAGTTTTGATTTAGAGACCAAAACGAAACTTGGAATCACTCAGGAAAATGGAAATAGAATAGAAGAGACGAAATGAGATTGGAAACCGTTTTGTTGGACTCTTATCCACAGATGATCGCTTTTATGGTAATCCATTTTTGGAGATGAACTTCTGGCTGCTCTGCACATGAGAACACTTCATCTGGGGATCAATGAAATCCCACAAGCAAAGATTGGTGCCTTCGTGGCACCGCGTGAGTGAACTAAACACAATGAAGAGTATGTGAACTCTTAAACATCTCTTAAAAAACGAGCATTTAATAGTACAGGTAAGCACGCTGTACATTTCCAAGCTGTTTGAAAGCCCTATACTCAAATTTTTGTTGGTAGTCTAATTTTCAGGACGCACCTCCAACAACCATACCGCTAAAACAACGTAAATGAGACCATTCTTCCCTCTGAGTTGATGCTCGAAAATGAAAACAACCATTATCAAGGTATTTGGAAAAATAAGATTGCTGACAACATATAATGTTGGAAATATCACTTGCATCACTAATAACCCGTTGCTCATCGAGTACTCAAGCAGTCCCAAATAAGCTCTATTCTTCCACATAATGTCCTATAGTTGTTCAGTTTACTTCGCTTGTCATGGGGTACGAACAGTATCAAACTTTTATTACGATGCTCTTTCATAGTGTTCCTGGTGATAACCTGTTCAAAAGCGGATCACTGAGTTTTCTCATAGAATAGGAGGTGCACCTGTAACCAAGCTTTCGGATGGAAATTTCGTATTCCTTCTCGGCTTGGGTGACTTTGCTGTGATTGAAATCCGGTGTAAATCGCATATCGTTACCCTCAATTACTCCCAATGCTTTGTAATGAAAAAAACAGAACTTGATTTCTTGAGACCACTGTGATATTTTCGTGTATTGGAGATTAGCAATAACTACAAGCATAAGGTGATTTGCAAAGTATTGCCAATTTCACACGGTGATCCCTCACCTAGGTCCTGATAGTGACAATCACAGCAATTTTAAGTATTCGAAATCCATTATTTTTGAATTATTTACGTTGGAAATGATTTGAACCGTAGGCTCACTCTTGACGGCTCAGCCTTCTCAAGCCGATTAAATTACAAACCGTCAGCCATAGAGAAAGTCGAATTTATCAGAGATTATGGCATTAATGTATGTGAACCGTCGTATAAAAAACTCCCATCCTGGTTTCCTTTGATTTTACTCGTCACAGGTGCTCCTTGTATTAATCTCATTATTAGTGTATTAGGTAAGAGGTAAAGTGTAAATTGGTGTTAAGAAATTCATGAGCGATGCACTATGCATTCGCTTACATTCGTAGCCTCAAGGAGGTGATTGACTGCGTATTTGATCAAGATAACGGTTTCATATGGCCTACCGATGTATTAAACTACTGTTTCTATCCGCTAGACAAGTCAGGTAACCAATTGCTCACAGTGGAAGAGTGAGAAGCTTCATTAGCCAAACGCGCAAGATCGAACCAACTGCGTTTGTGTGTGTGTGTGTGTGTGTGTTGCTAGGCATCTCTGCATCCCTAATCACCGCGGTACACGTTCCACGGTTATTCTGGTCCTCTTTCATTGATGCGGACCATTTGAAGACGTTTACGTAAGGACAACAACGTTCAACAATATGAAAACTAAGAACTAGACGCTGAGAAAATAGCTTGCTGCCAAATCAAAACCTGAACGTCGCTAACCATATATCGACTTTTTACAAAGAGATGAAATTTTTTCGGAAGAACTTCGCCAGCGGTTATCACAAATAGGTGTTTGAATACGCTGTGCATGAGAAATTTTCAAGGTTTTAAAGAAGTTCAAAGATTTAATAGCTGCGAACAGAGCGGTCTTAGTTCACCAGTGCCTTAATGCCTCCTTTTCCACTTCAGACCTCAAATGCGTCAATAAAATGGTTTTGGATATCGATGCGGTAAAAACTTGTTCTGAAAAAACGAAAGAGGTTTTTCTTTTGCGATCTTACAAGTGAGGAAGCTGTAAGATCTCAAATATCATACGACCCTGTTACAGGACAGCAAAAGTAGAAGAAGACCAGTCGAACCAACAGCCATGAACTCGTTGCTCAAAAGGCGCCTACAGTATTTTCGCATCAAAAAACCTCTTCACCGATTACGAGATCGAGAACAGGGTCTCGACTGTCATGAAAAACTTCTTAATTTCTTAATTATACTTTCTGTGGGCATTAAAGGCATTTCTGCTTACGAATACAACTAGATTGTGCATAATAATCGAAAGTGCACTTAAATCCCAGAACATAGGTTTCCATTATTGGAACCCTCATAGCGGACAGCAAGGAAACTTGGACACGTCAAAGTCTCAGCAAGTTTTATGTGAGTTTTTCGAGACCTGCAAACACACGACACACACCGCTGTCATTGCGGTGGCTATCAGCAATGCCGCTTGTCGCTTGTGTGCGTGTGTGTGTGTATGTGTGCGTGTCTGAGTCAAAGGTGTCGTTCGTTATCATTCAGAGAAAATCAGGCTTCACCTTCAGCTGCGTCGAACATCAGCGTCAAACCTATGCATATGCCGTAGTGACAACATCGTCGTCATTCGCCACGATGGAGTTGGTGGGTAAATTGAGTTTCCTTGAAGGTTTTATAGAGTATGAGATACAGGTTGAGAATGTACTACAATGGCTTTATGAACAGCGGAAAACAAAGCAGTAGCACATTTAAAGCAAAGGAAATCGAAACTAGGTACCGTCTAAGTGAAACACGTCCAGTCGTTATCGAGTTCACATGAATTTCGTCTCCTTAGCAATATTTGTAGCATTTTCAGCTTGTTCTGAGTTTTTACCGATTCTATTACTGCTAGTTAATGTGCTTTGGTTCAACGATGCGAACGAATTCCACGGATCCATCAAGTTTTCTGGAAAGGTTCATCGTTTCTTGTGAGTTGTTTCCTGCAAACCCAGATCAATACAACTCCGGTGACTAAACTGATAAGGACGTTGAATAATGCATTCCATTTGTGCGGAAGAAATTGTCTATTCACAAATAGGTATATGGCCCATGAAGATTGGAAGACAAGAAGTGAACATTTCTTTGAGCAAAAAGTTGTCGTCATCGTCCTCACCATCGTCGTCAGCATGACAGCGTTCGCATCAATAAAGGAGATTTTCGTTACAGAAAATATCTACGCAAAAACAGCACAACATATTGATACTGTCCAAGGCCTACCTGCACCTGACACTCTCCCAAATGGTTTGGCATCCCATTGTTTCCGGAAGATTCTTGGTCGAAGTAATGCAGATACAATGACAGATGGAGGTCATTACCATCAAAAATTATGCTAGCTGGTAAGGAGTTCGAGTCTCCATTTGGAGACACTGCTGAAGCTAAACTTAAGCGTGATCTGGGTGGATGAGCTTCCTATGGCCTAATTTTTGCTTATTAATCTTTGGTGCCGTTGAATTTATAGAATTCTGTACAAATTTCTTTCGTGATGTTTCCTTTGTAGTTGTACTAGTGTTGGAAAGTATTTTAAGCCACTTACGACTTGCGATTTGCGCAATAATCTAACTGTTTCTCTTACTCCACCATTGCTTTGTATCTCGACCTAGAGTAATGTTGTAAAGAGTAAAATGACTAGTTCAAAACTGTATGAAATCCACTTTGTAATGAATCACTGTAGGTCTTTTTCCTCTTTACAGCATTGTTTCTCTTCCTTTCTTTTGCGAATGTTATAGAATATTCTCGCATTTAGGACTTCACGGTGATTGCGTTGGTGGCGTCAGCGATTTCCTATGTTGTTTACAATCTGTTGTACCTTATTGCACAGTTATGGGAAGCGTTCGCTACGTTGTTTCTAGGTGAGAGCTGAAATACGTTAGGATCCCGTATCCACTAGACCATTAACATCGCACTTCATGGGAATACTCATTTTGGGTTTCCTCCAACTCTGTTTTTTTCTTCACAACTTCTTAATTTAGCATAGTGGGTGTAGCACATGAATCATAAGCGCTCTGTAATAAAATAAAATGGTCACTGATTTAACATGGTGGGATGACTAAGACCCGTATTCTTCCGGAGTTGGCAAAGTAGCACCAGACATAACTAAGAGGGTAAAACTGGCTTGACATGTAGCAGGCGCTATGAGTTATTGTAGAGATAAACGAATCATCATAGTCAACCTTTACGATGCTACTAATGGAGTCGAATGCATGTGGTAATGACTCCTAAGGAATTGACCAGAGCAAGGCGTTTTGTCCTTTATCTTTTTTTTATTTCACCAAAGATCAATTTTAGTGCTGGATCAGAGTTGTCGTCCTCATTTATAGGTTTATATTATGTGGCACTTTTCTATGGGTTTATGAAGGCACGAAAGTCTTTCCTCATCGTGGGAACGGGTTTGCTGGTGAGTACGGCGTTATTTAGTAAAAAATTCTTATACTGCAAAAGACAATTTCCGATGATAGAAGCTTTTCCAGGCATTGTCAACCGTCATATTGATTGGCTTATTTGTGTTTTTTATGGTTGAAATTTTTTATTCACATTCTCTAGTTTATCAATCGCTCATCTACATAAAGAACATGGACGAAAAGCAGCGAGTCGTAGGTAGGTCAGAGTTATCTGTTACCTTTGCGTGCGGTCGGCGAACGATCGGCGTACGGTCGGTGTGCGATCGGAGTATATACTTGTGGGCACAAAAATGTAAGGTACTTTGGCAAATATCGCACCGTAAAAATATTTTAAGAAAAGCTATATTTGAAAACGCTCATAAATCTTTTACTGTCGATAAATAAGTGAGAACGTTTTCAAGTTGCTCGGAATACGTCCATTGCTATGGCCGTTGACACCTTTATAACAGCTGGACTGCACATTTGGGCGTTTTTCCAGTGCTTTCAAAAGTGTCGGTAATGTTTGTTGATTTTGTCTGTCTTTATTTTTGTTGTTTTTATCTTATTTGTTTTAAATAATATTGAATTATTCTATGAAAAGTAGTTCGTGACGGAGTAGAGGATTAATTTTACGAAAAGTGACCAACAGAAATATAATTTTCGTCCGAAGACTTGTAACACTGCGATGCCGAGATATCTGCAAAACTTGGGTCCCAGTCCAGATTGAACCGCCACTGCCTTTCCGGAGCACACATGTTATGCATTGCCTATTTTCTTATCATTTTGGTCCTAATTTCACTGCATTTGTATCAGACAAATTAGTGATATGACTAACCACTCGTCAAACAATGAGTGCTTACGATAGACAAGTGAGAGAGAAAGATTCTATGGCTGGTGTGAGAACAGTATAAAGGTAACTTATCTAAAGAAAGAAGGCTTTTTATGTGATAGGGGACAACCTCTATAAGCCGTTAAATCTCATGTTTTACATGCGTGTACCGAGTTAAAATGAAGATGACCTGGTGGACTATTGCGGAAACAGCGACCGCAAACCTTTCCCGCGTTAATTCATTTCTGTCCTTCCTGTAATTGCAATCTATTCGTCGGTTCAGTTTAAATGAGCGCTTCGTACAGAGTGAAGGGTATATGATGATTCTTTGCATGTTTTAGCAATGTCATAGACCATTTTTTAGGAGGTACTAACACCGATCCTTTACGTCTCCAAGGGTTTATTATTATTATTATTATTATGAAAGAAAGACAACTTTGTTATTAAACGAGAAAGCTGGGAAAATAATATACTGAGACTAATTTGCTTTCGGCGTATGAATTTTTTTTTATTTTTTTAAGAAGCGCCGTGGTTATGTATGCAACACAGGCACTATGTCTTGGGCTTCGAACCAGCAGTGGACCAACAACCTTGTTGCAGCTTCATAAGAAAGTTAGCACTAGTCTGGAAAAAAGTCTCTTTGACCCGCAAAGATTGGCGACTGCCCGTTGACGAGGAACTGGGAATGTCCTCGCACGGCTTTTCCAGGAATTCAAGGCGAGAACAGTTTGACCTCCGTGCATCGATGTTCCTGAGAAAAATGAAATTCCTAACTAGCACCCTAATACGCAATCTCCATGACAGGTGAAAGGTGTAATGCAACGAAACAAATGAAAGAAGTGCAGGGATCGTGAAAATATGCGACGACAGCTAACTACAACTTATCTGACCTAGTGCTCAATCAAGGGTTCCTTAGAAGGCTATTCTTCTTACTGTACTTTTGAATAAAGTGCCATTAATTCGGACTGTGCCATGATGCGACTTCTTTCCGTGCTTGCAACCCTCAAAGTGAGCGCTTTCATTTTTGAAATTGAACCGACGCTTCTGAAACCATAATGCTGATCTGCCCAGAGCTTCTCATTTCAGAAGAAAGCATGTCCAATGCTGGAGTACTGATGAAATGGCACACGGCTGACCGAGTATACGACAAATTTTTGGGTGATCAACAATGACACAGGTTTTATGCAGCTGCGCGCTCATGTAAACCAAGTGATATACAAGTTAAAAATACCCCGAATACTAAATTGTTTAATATTGAACAAAATATTTGCACATGGGGACGATTAGGATCAGTTGAATACTTGAATGGTTCGTCTTCACCGATAGTGCGGACTCCAGCACAATTTCCATTCGCTTCTTTCTCGCGCTAGCATCGTCTACTGTGATTGTCTGCTTCGAATGTGAGATCTTCGCGAGGACCAATTCGTAGTCCTGAAATCGTTTCCATTTGCGAATGCAGATGATTGACGTTAGCCACGAACACGTACGCCCATCGTTTGGTTGGTCGTCCAACAGGAAGCTTTCATTCTGTTGGAGTTGTCTACTCCACTGCTTTTTTCATCCATTTGTCACTGTTGTTCTTATTGTGTGACCGACCTTTGCTATCGATGTATGTTCTCCTGGATCACGGAGTTGGGATCCGTTTCGAAGAAATGAACCGCGCATTTCGGCGAGGCTTGGGCGCCGGTTAAATTTCAGAAGACATCGTTCGGGCACTAACGAGAAATTTATAGAGGGGCCTGTGTTTAAATTGGCGACTTTAGCTCAAAACTATAGAGGAGCTATTCGCAGCGGATTACTTTCTCCATCTGCCTGTAAAAGGTATCCATTTCGTGCTCATCAACTGTAGAAGTAGGTGATTAGCAGGTGATGATACTCACTTTCCTCTACCGGAATTCGAGGGCTATGAATAGGCAAATGAGGTACTGGGATTTCGCTGAGTTAACTACATGGAAATGGATGGTTGTACAACAAATCAAACGCCTTATGTATTTCGTAACGAAAAAATTCCCTTCCAAAAAAGACAAGGGTTTCTTCATGTGATTGCCTTGTGTATGGTTTTCGTATCTTGTAAAGTAATTACATAAAATTGAATGGTAGCCTCAAGAACAACGTAATGATCGACATCTGAAGCGACTGTTCCAGTGTTGTAGATGCACAAAAACAAGCCATCTCCATAGCGTGTCATCGGCGTGCTCTCTTCGTCCGTTTCCAATGACGTCTTTTGAAACGCGAGATTTGATCGCCCCTCACCGATTATCTCATCGCCCGATGTCGTACATGGGCGTCCCTAGTATGCTGCACATTGAGTCTAAAGTTTTCCTAGTTGGCCCATTGTGGTTTCCTGTAGTCCCGAGAATAGTCTATGCGAAGTTTGCTTCACGTCGTCACTACCAGGGTAGTCTCCATTCCTTGTGGATCAGAGGCAGATTTCTCATCTCGCGACTAATTTGGTACCACGACAGCGGTGATTTGCGGTATGCATTTACTCTTAGGTGGGGGGCTTCCGAATGTGAACGTCGCGCTCAGCTTGGGAGACGCTGCTGGAGGGATGAACCATAGCTGTACATCGCAGTCTCATACACAAAAAGACACATTCTACCACGATGAGGCGGTAAGCCTTCAAAGAGTATCTATTGTGTATCAACTGTAAAATTATGTGCGCCAAAAGGTTGATATGTAACATTTCATTTTTTCAATTTGACACAAATTAGATTGAAAATAGAACCATCACCTATTAAAGGAGAATTTCTTCCAGGTCACTGCTTCAGGAAAACTCTTCTGAAGCTCCACTCGAGGCGATGGCCATTCAAACCGAACTCGATGAGCCAGCGATGTCAGATTTTAGCTAGTTTATTTTCTATTTTAACAGAATTTTTCCTCATGTCACCGGGAACAAAAACATTCCTGTTGATCGAACGACTCAAGCGGGCGCTAGCAAATCATCCATTTCTCTTTGACGCCTGTAAGTGTTGATCAGTACAGTCCGCTCGCTATAAGGACTGTTGAGCATCGTATCCTTCTTCTAGCGTTTTCGTGAAGAACTCTGACCATTGGGTCGGTAGCCTTCTGCAGTACGTTTGACACACCAAGGAACCCAATCACTAACGGTTCTCATGCATCGGTTGCCGTTCAAATGCATTGCATATTCGGCCCACCTTATCTTCGACACTTTAGCAAATAGAACGGCGTCCTTGATTTTTCACCTTTGACTAAGTTTGAGCACCCGATACCCTACCTTACTTAAATGATACGCGGCTAGCCCAAGGATCGTCTTTTTGACTGCGCGTTCAATAACTGTGAGTGATCTTTCATCCTGCTCAGTCGCGACAAGGTTTGTGACGCATACGTTAAGGTAGGAGCAATAGTGGAGTTGAAAATATGGGGCTAGAGTCAAGTGTTCTTCGTTCTTCGTTCTTCTTACTAAATCCTTGATGCTTTTGACTTTCCCACAAGCCGATCTCACGTTTGCTCCTGCTCACGTTTGGAGCTAAGTTGTTCGCCATGTTGACTAGCCGACGTAGATAAACGTAAATGGAGCATTCGGAGATATTCGTTCCGCTGAGTATAGTTGGCGCATGCAAAACCAATTTGTTTTCCATCAACATCTTTTTTGTGAGATTGAGACAAAGACCAATCACTGCATTATCAAAATCGCCTGGCCTTAATTCCTCCTGGAAATTGCACGATGTTATAAGAATGATGTCACCAGCAAAGCGGATGGTGTGATTGCCAACCATCGTTTTACTCCTATACTTGGGAGTGGTATGTTGGTTGCAGAATTCTCAAACAGCCCCTGGGGAATCTTTACACACTGAGTAGTGACACCCTGGCTATCCAGAGCTTCAATAACTGCTATCTCAACTGGATCAAAACTTATTTACTTCGACTCTTGGACGGCCCGTTCTCACTGGTTGTGGGTGCCTCAGCATATTCTCCATTTTCGAAAGTTTTGCTGGTTTAGCCACTGTGCTTCTCTGGAGTCCTGAGGTCAGCCTAGCCAAGGTCTGGCCCAGGTCGTCACCACAACAGACAGTCGCCACCATGCGATTTTGATACCAGAACTGTGTTCGATCTGGTATTAGTTTACTCTTAGCTGGGCTTCCTGATGAAGACGCCGGACTCTTTCTCAGCTTGCGAGAGCTTGCCGGCAATGAATTTCTCCGCTGCACATCGCAGCCCAATAGCCAGGAACACCTCCCAGCCACGATGAGGCAGTAAAGCGTTGGGAGGACTAGATGAAAATCTTCCTCCAAATTAATGAAAATTAGATAGAACACTCTCGTGTAATCTCGTAATACTTTGATGAATCTTGAGTCATGCGAATGATGTTCATCGTATCTTTTTCGAAACCCTGCTTGCTCATATGGCTCTCTTCATCCAGTATCTTACCACTCTTGTTTAGGATGACTCGAGTGAAAAGTTTGTAGACAACAGGGAGCAAGCAGATTGACTGGTGGTAGTCGATATCGTGGAAGTTATCCTTATTGAATAATAGCACGGTTTTGCTGGTCTTCCACTGGTAGAGACCTTGCATTCTGACAGGGAACGTGTGAAGAGCCCAGTAAATGTGTTTGCGAGAACTGGTGAAAGGTTCTTCAGGTGTTCAGATCTTATCCTCTCCGGACCTGGTGCTGTTCGATTTTTCACCGACGAAATGGTATGTCGGATTTCGGTGGGGAGAACCGGTCGTGCAACATATCCATCTTCCTTTATTTCACAAGAGAGCAGGACGATGTGGATATTGAAGAGATCTGAGTAGTAATTGTGAATGATTTTCACCATTGCCTTTCTGGAGGATGTAACTGTTCTGTCTGGGCATTGGAGTGCAATCATAATGGTTTTGAATTTCGCGAAGATTCTCCGTTGCGTACTTCGCTAATCCTTTCCCCGCTTTTGAGGTTTGAATCGTAAATGCATCCTTTCTGTCCTTGAGATCCTCTATTGTCGCCTGTCTGCATTGTTCTGCATGCTCGGACTCAAATTGGCGGTTACCCTCTAGCTCATGCGGTTCTAGACGGCGTTTTAGCTCGTTTCTGGAGACAGACGTCCCATGGTGTTACGAAATAGTTAGCAGCCTGGTAGAGAAAGCGAAAATATTTTAAAAAAAACAACATAATATGGATTTCACTAAACTACATACAACGAACGAGCAATGGTCCATGAGTAGAATATGTACCTTCATAATGAACAGCAGAAATAGAAGTGGGACGGAAGACAGTAACCCGCTGGGCTGGACATCGGTCATTGAGTGAAACCGAGCGCGTTCATCTGCTTCGACTACAGTCCCGATGACGAGTAACTGGTCGTCATGCGGGACATTTGTGAGGTTGCCATAATCTCGTCAGCAGATCGTAGAGACGGCTCCTGCTGCTTTCTTAGCTCTAAGTGCAACATCTTCTAAGGTTTCTTCAGCTTCATAATTACCTCGACGGGCTCCAAGATTCTTCAGCGTAGTCGTCACAGTTGGGCTGTCGACTTTAGCAGCTTTATGCCATCCACTGTGATCGTGGCGGGTTATGGGACCAGAGTCTGTTCCACCTTTCTCCTTGATCGCCTCACGATCATCGGCCTTACAGTACATGCAGCGGTACTTCTTGTCGGAGATCAACGATCTGCTCTTATTCTCTTGTTTGCTGACAGCAACTGGCATTGATTGGCACTTTGACATGTACTGCTATACTTTTTCCTCCGTGGATATAACTTCTTCAATAAATTGGAAGAGTTGGTCCACCTGGAAAGGTTTTTCCATCACGACGTCATGTTTTTTTTGATGACTTTCCGCTGTATGTTGTTTGAGAAAATTATATCCAAGGAGGAAAAAGTATAGCAGTACATGCCAAAGTGCCAATCAATGCCAGTTGCTGTCAGCAAACAAGAGAATAAGAGCAGATCGTTGATCTCCGACAAGAAGTACCGCTGCATGTACTGTAAGGCCGATGATCGTGAGGCGATCAAGGAGAAAGGTGGAACAGACGCTGGTCCCATAGCCCGCCACGATCACAGTGGATGGCATAAAGCTGCTAAAGTCGACAGCCCAACTGTGACGACTACGCTGAAGAATCTTGGAGCCCGTCGAGGTAAATATGAAGCTGAAGAAACCTTAGAAGATGTTGCACTTAGAGCTAAGAAAGCAGCAGGAGCCGTCTCTACGATCTGCTGACGAGATTATAGCAACCTCACAAATGTCCCGCATGACGACTAGTTACTCGTCATCGGGACTGTAGTCGAAGCAGATGAACGCGCTCGGCTTCACTCAATGACCGATGTCCAGCCCAGCGGGTTACTGTCTTCCGTCCCACTTCTATTTCTGCTGTTCATTATGAAGGTACATATTCTACGCATGGACCATTGCTCGTTCGTTGTATGTAGTTTAGTGAAATCCATATTGTGTTGTTTTTAAAATATTCGCGCTTTCTCTACCAGGCCGGTAACTATTTCATTACATGGTTTCATTGGCCGGGAATCGAACCCGGGTGGCGCGCGTAGCAGGCGAGCATTCTACCACTAAACTACTGTTGTGCCTAAAGCACTGAACATAATTGACTGAGTAGATTATAAAAGTTACATTACGGTGTTTGATGTGCGACTGCAAGGTGGCCATATATGGACATCAAATACTATTGTCTAGGAAGATAGAGTTCTTTTCCGCAGAGAGGTTTTCTATACATGGTGGCTTTCGAACTCTCACTGTTTATAAAGGTAATATTAGTTCTATACAAGCCGATCGTATTCTTTGTTGATGTTATCAATAATGGCGTCTTTCTAGGAGTCGACTAATGGGCTGAATAAACCCCAGTTTATGGTAGTTTTAGGACATCGTTCTTTAAATTAGCGGCTTTTTCTCCTTTTCGCTTGAAATGAAATTTTGAACGAAGTAGATGTATCCCGTATAGAATTTCTTGACAAGAACGACCCAATTTGGCAAAATATCGAGTTGCTATGATGTGGTTTATTCCATTATGGTGCTCTCTATCCAGCTTTTAGACCGAGGCTCATGGAATTGTGAGTTACCACGGTTGGTTTTAGTCGTCATCACAAACCCTAGCAACTACTCACTCAGTTCGTTCCATATTAATCCGTGGGTACCCTCGCGGGTTTCCAGACGTTCTTCCAGGTCCGTTTTAGCGCTGAAATTTCCAGCGCTATCCTTTAAATGTATAGTCTTCTGTACTACCTCTCCAATTCCGCACAAAACCCTTCCCTTTCGTCTTCGTCATGGCGTGATATCGGTTCTTTGACGAGTCAAAGCTCCTATTGATCCACATCTCCTAAAAAGTTCGATCCGTGTTGTTAGTTGTTTGATTGAATCGATATTCATGGCTAAACTCGTGTTGACGAGAACTCCGACAGCGTCGACTCCTCTACTGTCGCAGGTTTGACGAACAGTTCTTTTCCAGTATCACAGCCAATGTTGAATAGGTGGTGTCTTCTCGTGCCAGCCACTTCACTGACGTCGTACCTTATTCTTCTTGTCTGCATGATTCCTCTGTCGACCACTCAAATGAAACTTTGATTGTATTATAGGTACAGATCGTCTACTTAGTCTTTTGCGATTTAGGCACCCTAGAATGGTCCTGAGATTTTGGCAGCCTGTCCAGCACTCTTTTATGGTCAGGAAAATAAAGTTCACTTATTTCGACTTCTTATATACTGCCCACTTTTTTTAAGGACAGGGTATATTGCGAAATATAGCTTCAACAGTGCTGGGATAACTCGAAAGACCGACTTTCTATAAACCTCGGCATAGATAGTTGATATATTTATTTACATGATCTTATAAACTGATCTTGTTCTGCTGATGCGAGGTTGGTACAGGTCTTCGTTGTTGTTGTCGTTGCTGTTGATGTTGTTCGTCGATGGCTGACGTCTCGGTGACTTCGCCTTCCTCAGAGCCTAGACGTATTTTATATTAGAATGTTTTTATTATTCGGTGGAAAAAAGGGTAAAGTATTAATGAAAACCAAACTTTTAAATAGACGCCATACTGGACAGAAAGACCACTCACCGTCATGTTACGTGTGGGACTGGCCTACGTGTTCTTTACGTGGAGTCGCTAGCAAGACACACCTCGGGGTCAAAATATCATTTTGAAATAGGGTGCCAGGTCACGCGTGATAACGAGGTATTCGTCTTTCCGGTTCATCTTTGGATTTCGGAAATTTATCCAAAACGCCTCAAGAGTTTTGCGCGTTGACGTTTTTGATTCCAGCGGTAGGATCAGCACAGTCACTTCAAAATCATCGCCGTTGTGCTTTTGTGCCTTGTGCGTACCTAGAGGAGTGCTTTGACGGATTTTAACTTTCCCATCTAGATGGAGCCGAAACGTCGGCCATCGACCAACGATATCAACAACAACGACAACGAAGGCCTGTACCAACCTGGCAACAGCTTAACAAGGTGCTGAGATATTTGCAAAACTCCGGACTCGCAGGTGTCTGCGGTGGAGAACGAACGCGCTATTGTCTTTTCCGGGAAGTAACGCGTTCACCACCACACCATGCGGGTCCTTCGCTTCGCCTGGCTCTCAGCTAGTTCTGTCGATCTCTGCCATCACCAATCACCCATCAGCGGAGATGGCAGAAATCTATAGAAACTACGGGTCCGGAGTTTTGCAAATATCTCAGCACCGTTGAAGTTATATTTCGCAATATACCTGCCATTAAAAAGAGATGGCAGTAAATAATAAGTCAAAATTGTGATTATAACTACAGCCTCAGATTAACTGGATTCATTGCCGATTTGGGCTCCCCAGATCAATTCCGCTGACTGGTAATTGCTAATGGCAGAGATCGACAGAACTAGCTGAGAGACAGGCAAAACGAAGGGCCTGGATGGTGTGGTGGTGAAGTGCGCTGCTCCCCGGTAAGGACAACAGCGCACGTTCGTTGCCCACCGCATACACCTGCGGTCCGGGGTTTTGCAATTATCTCAGCATTAGATACGAGTTATATTTCGCAGCATACCCTGCTATTAAAAAGAAAAAAGGCAGTAAATAAAAGGGTTAAGAAGTCCACTTATTTTACTGTGTTTAGCCTTTGAGGAACTCACGGGCTTACTAGTATTCTAGATGTAGCTGGTACAGGAAAGATGTTCAAAGGTACCATCGGCCGTATTCCGTTTATTTGCACGTCCATAGAATTTTGCCCACTGGAAGCACTGGTTGTAAAAAAACTGACCCATCTCTTTTTATAGTGACATCTAGAAAATGTCAGCCCACCTGTATAATTTCACTGGCACTTCTTTTGATGCCGAGACGAATTTTTTATTCATCGATTAATTATTAAGCTTCTAACGATCGGATAAAGGTTATTCTCCAGCAAATCTGCCAAGTTCTGCTGAATTCTCCGTGAAATGTGAACAAATTTGTATTGAGCTTATAGGTGATCATTGTGTAAAGTTCTCAACTGGAATTGGTAAATTTTTCAGACTATGGCGACATAAAGATAAGTTAATATAGAACCACATCTGCCATCGCCATACCGCTTGTAGCGTCCAAAATTTGATTTCACAGATAACGTGATACTGTTGCACTGCGTTTATTGAGTTCAGCCTGGTTGGCAAGATCAAAAACCAGATAACCACAATAATGCTGAGATATTTGCAAAACTCAAATTCTAAGGTTGCTTTGGACCCGTAATTAACTTTTCCATGGGGATATGCTACCCAATGGGGCTCTTGCTTCGTCTTTCTCTCATTCAGTTGTTCCTTCTCTTCAGCCTCATCTTAACTGTATTCAATGTCGAATTGTGCTCCTCAGATCAATGCCGTTAACGAATGATTGCTGATAGCATCGTTTGGTAAAAAAAAACGTGATGAGAGAAAGGCAAAGCAAGGACCTCGGTGGTGCAGTGGGTAGCACATGAACCCCCAGTAAGGGTAATCGCGCATTCGAAGCGGGTCAGGGTCCGAGTTTTGCGGGGATCTCAGCATCATTATGGTTGTGTTTCGCGTACCCTGCTATGAAAAGATGGAAAAAAAAAACTAAGTGGAAAATTGTATATTTAAAGCCATACAGCTCCCACCTTTTATCTTTCGCTACTTCGGCTTCCTTTCAGCTTTATTGTAATTGCTGGTAATTATATCTCTGCTCATTTATTCCAAAGGCGAATTTATATGACCCATCTCTACATGCTGCGCGGATTCCAGCTCTTTTTTTATTTGGTTAGTTGTCTTACAGCCATTGGCCACGATGTTTCCAGATTTGTGCATAGGGTTCAACTACCACCTGAAAATCTTTCCTATTTCACAAATCCCACTGAATACTTGGTCTGTCGGATTCTCCGAAGAATCGTGATGTAGCTGTGGCACAGCGCTACCTTCGCCATGGTCTTCATCATGAGCAGTCGTCGGTTTTCGTATAAGGCAAAAAGCTTCTACCAGACACGTCCAGTACCACCTCGATTTTGTTTTTTTTTTGTTTCGATCTGGGAGATAGTGGTTCACTTGAGGTGAGATCGAACCGACAACTCTACGCGTACTGCAGAGAATGTCTAGCAACTGTTTCAGTGGTCCATTTGATTGCATTTTTCGCCACTAACTCTGAAAACTCCAAAAAGACCGTCTAGTAAAGCGTTTTCTTTTTTCTTCCTCGTTGCTTATTTTCGCTTATGTCATCAGTAATCATATAAAGATCAGAGAACAGCTGTAGTTATTTTTCTCAACCTTTTCTTTTCAAATAACTACTTTTCAGTTTCATTTTACCGCGACTTCGTACCACTTCTGACGGCGAAATTGTTGGTACCATGGGAAAATCTCAGAATTTCTTTGCTGATCACCACCGATCGATGCCACCTCCGATTCGTTTTTGAGACGTTGTTTCCAGTCTGATTAAATCTAATTAGTTTTGTGGTAAATTTCGATCATGTGCTTTCTTTCTTCTTGTACACTCAAAATTTTTTCTGGGTATACGTTTCGAACAAGTCCCGCCCATGTCGCATAGGAAAATTAATAATATTATTGATTATTTATTTTATTTTACGTGTTCCGTCTTCACATCTATTATGCACATTCCAGCAGTTTTTGCATTCCATTCATTTTTTTGCATCTAGCAACCATAACGGTCTAATTAGTATTGACGTGTGAGTTCCGTTGCTGATTAACGATTTTGATGTCTGCTTCGTGAACACCGTTGAATGCTGGTGGAGTCGATGCTCCGTAGAATCTTGTATAGCTGTGCGAGGACGTTCCCACTTGGATTATACAGGGTGAACTGTCCTCAGACAAGCCTGCTAGCAATCCCCTGATGCCTGAAGGATGGGGGGGGGGGGGGGGGGGAGTGTGCCCCCTGTGTGGGATCGAATATCTCACCTCATTTGGTAACATCAACAGAATAAATCTGGAAGTAGGGTTTAATGCATGAAAGTTTCAAAAAATCATTGCAGGGTACGCCATCGCCAGCGCGAACCACTGTGCTATGCTCTCCGCTTCTTTCTTTCCATAAACGTAGTCATTCAGATTATGATAAAATAAATAGCCGGGGCATTGAATGCCTGTGATTCGGTTTTTTCGAATTGCAAGTGATTGCACACCACTTGGGAAAATTATTTGAGGGGAAGAGAGGTAGAAAATGAAGTGGCACACTCTATCCTATAAGGTTAGTAGATGGATACCATAAAGAAAACAGTGCGATCATAGCTTTTCCGGAAACGATATCCATCAAAAAACACCAGCGCACACTATTGCCGACGATTTATTATGACAATAACTTTGTAGTTGCCGCCTAGTTCTATTTTTCACGGCGCGGTATTATGTGAAATACAACCACAATGAGGCTATGAGGCTAAGATATTTGCAAAATTCCGGACCGCATGCGTCTGCGGTGTGGATCGTACACGCTACTACATTTTCCAAGGGCTAACGCGTTCACCACCACACAAAACGAGTCCTTTGTTTCGCCTACATTTCACATAATGTCCAGTTGCAGAACGGAGAGCTTCAACGCAAGAAGCCTACTTAGAAGATCTGAAGAAGGCGATGCTGCCTAACCGTTAACTACTGCTGTATTGTATGTGTTCTTCTACGGAAGTAAACGTATGCTGTATAACAACCTCGCAACTGCTGGTAAAGAAAACGACTCATTTATAATCAATGCCAATGCCGAGGTTAATAGAAAGTCAATCCTGGGAACTGTTACAACCTTCTAATTTGTACAGTTGACCACAATTTCTAGAACATTCTCATCTTATAACAAATAGAACTGGATGGTACTCTGATTACAGAAACCACCTCATGTGTGTACCCTGGGCGAACACTTTCAATGAACACAGAGAGCAAGGTTAAGGAGGAATTAGAGAGACGAAGAAGAGCAGGATGAGACGCATTCGGGCCGCTCAAAAAGCTGCTGACCAACTAAAGGATCTAAACCTCCGCGCTTACCTATTCCATTCAGTAGTCCTGCCAGCGTTCTGTTATACAGACCAAACGTAGACTGATACTAAGACCACGTTTAGAAATCTGCGCACCACCCCCAGAACGCTGGGAGGATTACTAAGATTTTTTCTGAAATTTAGTTGGCACTCCCAATGGGCAGTGCAGATCTTGGAAACCTCGCCTACTTTCGGATGCTTGGAGAATTACATCGGTAGCGAAACTCGGATGAGCCAGTCACTTAATGTGAAGAGCATATGAGATATGGACGAAAGAAGCAGAGGAGTGTACTCCAAGAGCAAGCGTCCAAGACCACCCAAAGAATGGGTGGATGTGTTCGTGGATAACGTCAACCACCTCTACTCACGGATGGCCACGATTTCAGGTTTACAGAATGGACATCGCAGGCGTCACCATGTTCGAAGCAGACCAATATTATGGACGACGACTGCATAAGAGAGAAATGGATGGAAATTGAGCTAGAACCCACACATCTAGTGATGACATGCTGTCCAAATACTAAAGTAAGATGAGTAAGTATCTAAGCGACTTATCCTGCTTAACATTTCGTTACTCTACACAGTCCTGTTTTTCATTGTTAGTGCGGTTCCTCCATCTGTAGAACATCACTCATAGTGACCACATCAGTAATTGCCCTGTTTGTACCCAAATCAACCTCACTGCACTGTTATTATAATCACACACATTCCTTGTAATATCTCCACTTTTTGTGCCGTGTTGTTGTGTTCTATATCACACTTATACATTATATCACGCCACCTGCCTATGGAAGAACTGCCCTCCTGTCTCAGAGGTCACCACTTGCTCATCATCTTGCCTTCGCTGATTCACCGTTGTTTTCGTTGTGTCACTTGTTTTTTGTTAGTGCGGCCATATTGTTCAAGCTACAAAGCTCTATTTAGTTCCTGGCGTTGGTCAATCCCTAAGGGATGCGCCAAGCATCCGACTTCATTAAGCATCGTTTGCAGGTGATTGAATACATATCTGGCCTTTACAATGGCTCTTGGTGACCTACCAATGTATCGAGCCAGTGCTGCCATCCTCCTAGACATGGCCGATACCAATTTGCCGACCCCGGAGGGATGGAAGGTTTGGTGGCCATGGACGCGAGGATCGATTCCATGTGTGTGTTGCAGGGCGCCTCCGACCACTGCGCCAAACGCGCCTTTGCTCATGTCATTACTGTTGTACTATTGTTGTTATAAACGGTTTAATTACCTAAGTTCGATACAGGACCACGGATCTCCCTCATGAGGGATCTCGAGCCGGCTAGTCGCAAGGCTATGTGGCGTCTCCCCAGATAGCGAATAGGGGTTTAATTGCGTACTAAAAGCGACTTTTGCTTCCATGAGACGCCGATGGATTCAGGGGATGGACGCACTTTTTCTGCTTCGCCGATTTGGCACATGTTTCCCGTATTTACGAGGCGTATTCATGCATGCGTGCTTGCGTGTATTGTCGTTTATGAGGATTGTATTCTACAAGCCAATTCCGAGTCAGTTCCGTCAAAAGACTGAAATCAAGTGACAAGAAAGTATATGGAGGCCATTAGGAGTCATCTCCAACAAATAAGCTGTATATCCACTCTAGAAGAGACTGGCAAGGTACCTGTGAGTATACCCAACCCCCACGTTCAGAGCTCAGTAAGCTATCTGTGGGTATCAAAAGCGTAAACACAATAAAAGAAACGAGCCTCATTCCCCGTATCCCGAAAGAGCCCCTAATTCGGCAGCGTTGGTTGGACCAGTATGGAGAGGCTGCTAAAATCTCAGGACCATTCTAAGCTGCCTAAATCTCGATAAACTACGATAACGATCTGTTCCTACAATGCACACTGTAATGCTGCCTCACTGATGCGTTCCTACTGTAATGCTGCCTCACTGATGCGTTCGATAGTGTCATTACTGACAGAACGATGCGCTTCATCACCTGCACCTATTTCTTCACCAAATGACTTATTTAGAGAGTCGTTCAGATTACACAGTCAGTTATTCTCTGAGCCTCATTTTCTGAACGTATTCATCCTCCATGAACACAATTCGCACTATGACAGAGGCCCTAAAAATTGTAGTTGAGTTTACGAAAAGGCAGTAAAATACAAGAATTACGATAATATAGCTGCGTACCCGTGGTATTCGGCTTGTAATGTCGCAAGTTCCACATGCCGAGCATCCGGCCGTAAAACAGGATCTTCGGGAGAGCGGTGAAATCCTAGTGCCTGATAGCCCTTTGGCGTTCCTGTATTTTGGCCAATAGTAGAGGAAAAATATGCTATAACCGTTTAGTGCTCGCCGTTTCAATGAACAATGAACTAACTATCAGTGTCACATTATACTTCCACGTGATTTCTGTGCGGTTGGTCTCTACGTGACATACTTAGTGGAAACCTCATAGGAAGCGGCTCTGAGGAAGGCAAAATCCGCGGAAACGTCAGCTTAATCGTGAACAAAGAATAATAACACCTCGCGTTTGCTCAACAAAAATACGAAGAAAATAACTATCAGTGTATATAATGCGAAGAGCAGCTGACGCCCCAGCTGGTAATGAAGTCAGTGTGCCTGCACATAATGCCCTTAACATGAGCAGGAGCTCCGTTGTTTGTTTTTTCAAGCGCTCCGTACCTTTGAATCGAAGCCGTGCCATCACAGTGCCATCGGGTCTGGAACAGTGATTTAGTGTACTTTTTCAACTACGAGAAACAGTTTTCAAAAACATACTATCTCAGTTCCGCTTCTGATTCATCGTCAATATCGTAACGAATTCTCCAAGTGTGCATTTCAATAGCATGATTCAAATCCTCTTTTGTGGGATTGACAGCGAGCGTCAACTCACGAAGATAACGCTGCTCAACAGCTACAGTGATGCCTCCGAAGTTCTCTACAAGGCCGGCTCGCAGAACTTCAGACGAGTTCGTCATATAGGCATGGAGTTTAGCTGCAAATTCCCTTTTAAAAAACAATGCACTAGTCATTTCAAATCGAAAAATTGAGAGAAGTGGCACAATCTGTATACAGCTGTCATCACTTATGTTTGCATGAGGACTAAAATTTTTTTGTTTCGGCAGTTGCAACATACCAACGCAAGGGAATATATCACACCTCAACATGAATTACGATTGATGTAGGCAGATTTCACGTCATGGTAGTTTAGAAATATTTAAGTCCCATCCCCAGCAGATCTCTTCAAACATCGTATCTCTAAATAAGTGATAGAACAAAATTAGTCTTTATAGGACTTACCATCAATATTTCTTTTCTTTAACACGTTGTGGGGAAGCAGTCTTCGACAAGCGAGTATGTGGGAGAAGGCGATATAGATGCATCTCGTGATAAACATAGTTGACTGAGAGATGTTTCTAATGTTATCAGGAAATGTAGCAGCCCACTAAAGACATAATTCTTTGTTTACCTAATGCTGTATTGGTACGAAACTTTAGACATTTTTTTGCCTTGGTTCGCTATCCCATAAAAATGTCTCGAAAAATTTTCGATGGCGCATTCTATTGAATGTGCCACATTCATTACTTTATCTGAAACTTGATACTTAATACTTGAATGGCTCATCCTCACTGGTTGTGTGGACGCCAGCATAATCTCCATTTTTCGGAGATTTGCTGGTTAAGCCATTGTGGTTCCCTGGAATCCCGAGGTCAGCCTGGCCAAAGTCTGCCTACCTCTTATCGGAAACTAGGTGAAATAAATGTGAAACGAAAACCTACCTACAGCTGCCTTAATAGTTTTGATTCGCTTGAGGGGAAAACCACCACAGCTGCATAAATGGATCTGCCCTATGCAGAAGAGCAACAAAACCTGAGCTTGTCTAGTTGTTTCTACAACATCGTAGTGAAATTTTGCAAAGTTTACTCGATAATGTAACCTTCTTATTCAGCAAACTGGTGTCCTACAAAAAAGTTAAAGCTTTTATTCGCAAGATAATGTAAGGATAAAAAATAAAGGATAAAGCTCTCGGTGCTGATCAATCCTGAGGGATGCGCCATTCATTCAACTTCATCATTTAGAAGTGATTGAATGCATATCTGGCCTTTACAATGACTCGCGTTGGCCCACCGATGTATCGACCCAGTGCTGCTATCCTCCCAAACAAGTCTAGTATCAAGTTGCGACTCCGGAGGGATGAACGGCTTGGTCGCCTATGGGCGCGGGGATAGATTCTACGTGTGTGTTGCAGGGCGCCTCCGACCACTGCGCCACATACACCATGACAATGTGCTATTCAAAAATGTACAGCAACGCGTCGCAAACTTACCGAATTCTTATCAATATCCCTCTTTTTAAGACTACACTTGATTTTGTGGCAAAAGGAGGCAGTAAATGAGGATATGATGGATTAAAGGTGTTCCACATTTAAGAGATAAAAAATGAACCGTGAAAGCATTAACCACTTCCTCACTGTAAAATTAAAAGAGAGAAGTATGATTTTTCTGAGAGGTACCAAATAAGCCGTGCCAGTTCTGATATACGTCGTGACAGCCTGCTGATACAGTTGATACAGTTGGCGCTGAGTTTTACTGAGTTCTAGCTGCTGATCAGAATAAAGGTGATTCACTTAGGGTCTTGAAAATCATTTATGTTGTATGATAAGTTGTTCACTTAAACCTTAGGAAACGGTTCGGTATTGCAGGATTACAGTACCTAGCATGAAGGATTCATTAATGCGCATATGTTTCTTAGTCCTATGTATTCTGTGGCAAAACCTGTAGATAAGTTCAATTAGTTCTATCATCCAGCACCCTCTGTCTCGTCAGCCATTCGATCATTGTATTGCTCGTAAAATCGAGGTTTCCAAGTTTCCAAATTTGTCTAGCTTCGTAATATAGACTCAAAAGGATTCCATGAGACTACAGGGCTAAAACTGCACTAATCCCTTAATTATTCAATCTAATATTTCCAAGCAGGGGGGGGATAGCACAGTGGTGGTGATGTCCGTTATCACGAGCATGGTGCTAGCTCGCTTCCGCTCAAGGCCAACAAAGCCTCTCATCCTTATGGGGTCGTGGTACCGGACTTGTCTGAGAAGAAAAATCACTCTTTGCAACCTGAGTGGCAACGTTTCAGTCCGGCTGTCTCAGGACACCACGCAGAATTGCTCGATCAGCATTCCACTCTCCAAGCAGCAACCGAAGCCACACGTAAAAGTTGGAAGATCTTAGTAGGCAATGCACGCAAGGAAACGAATCGAATGTAAGAAGTGCTAGGATCCGCAAGTACGAAGAACGACGTGAAGACGGATCATGTAAAATAAAACAAATATTTCCAATCTTAAGGCAGAAACCAATGAACCTTCCGATCTTGTCAACACCCTTTTCCACAGCATATTCTTATGTTGACCTATCCTTTCGTCTCGATCACAATCAGGCCAAAATGTTGGCCACAAGTAATTGAGAGAAACCTATTTATTATGCTCATCTGAATAAAAAATACCTCTCAACAACAAGCTGACTGCCATGGTAGATGCAGTGGTTGCAAGTCGGTACAATGCTAGACGACTGGCTTCTGACTGCGTCAGAATCGTCACCACACCATTGCTATACTTTTCTTCCAAAGCATTCCGCTCTGATTCCTTAGCGAGAAACGTAGAATATTCCGCTCAGACTCCACATCTCCACATTTTTCACTGTTACAATCGATGGACGTCCGACCAATGCTCAACCTGCTGACATCATTTAAGCCAGATGATTCGAATTAATATTAATATAGCTCGATTAGAAAAATTGGTCCGCGACGACAAATAACTTTTCGATAGTAATTTATCACCTGTCCCACTTGTCGTCCGGAGCCTGGAAGAGTACACTAATACGCAGCTCACTAGGTCGAACACTTCAACAGCACAAACAGAAAGATGAAAATCTGCGCGATAAGGGATCTTTGGCTTCTCGAAAAACCCACCGCTTTTCTCACCTGTCTTCCACCGAGAAAGAACAGCAGCTCAGAGTCGCATATGATTGGCGACTGCGTCTCCCACATCAACGATCGACACGAAGGTAAGGAACGAGATCACGTGTGATCTCGGGACATTCCTCCATGCTACACATTGTAGGATTTTTGGCATTTATCCAAAAAGCCTCGAGGAGTTTACGCGTTGGTGTTTTAGGAACCCATGCGAGGATAGCTACTTTTACATCAAACTCGTCTCCGCAATGTTTTTGTATCCTATGCGTTCCTAGTGGCGTACCTTGCCTTACTTTTCGTTTACCTTATAGGTGTTCTTTTCTGCGGGTACATAAAAGTCTGCTCGTTTCGTCAATGTATTCGTCTCCGTAAGTGCCACGAGAGATCAGGTATAGCGTACCTGAACTCAAGCAGTCACCGTCCCTGCCTTAAAGGCAGATTGCACAATTTTTTGTTTCACATAGGCGGTCATATAGGCGGTTACGTACTAACTGACAACGAAGAGTATCCAGTGGAATTTCAATTATCGCTACCGATTCCTCTAGATTTGCCATTCTTAAGCATCGTCTTGTCGCTATCCTTATTTTATCGCTAATAAAGAGCAACATAAACGGGAGTTTGTTTCGGCTAAACCGTTCGTTTTGGAGCGTCGCTTTCCTTCTAAACTTATCCCGTAGGGTTACAATTTCGCAGCCATTTGAGGTGGCTATTTGCCGAGCCAAGTCGTGCTATTCTTCCTTTAGTTCCCTACTTGTGAGGTGGCTGTTCGAAACATGTTTCTCACAATCGCCCTCTTTGTGTGCGAAGGGTGGGAAGAAAGGAACTGAGCCAGGATGTTTTTGTTGCTTGGTTTTCGGTACCACTTTGTCATGTAACCACTACTTGATAAGTTTATTTGAACGTTTAGGAACGGAAGCTAGTTTTTTTTTCGGTTTTTCTCGGACGAACTTAATGAGGTCAGACTGCTTGTTCAATAATTCAAACCATTTGTCCATCTCCTTTTGCGTAGAAAAGGTAACAAAACAATCATCTGTGTACCTGCACTAGAGTAGCGACCGGGAACCGAGAACAGGGGCTTCTATTTTAGACATAAACGCAATGGCTAGGCTTGGTGCCAGTCGCTGTCCCATTGCCAACCCCCTTATTTGCGCGAAATATTTCCCAGACCATCTAAAAACCGAGCAGCTTAGGCACTCCTTTAAGAGAGCCGTTAGCTGCTGGATGGACAAGCCATGCATATTTATTCCTCCTTCATGTTCAACAAGAAGTTCGAAGATGGCTTGCATTGCGGAGTCATTCGATACGTTAGTGTACAACGCGGTAACGTCGAAAGACTCCATCACGTACACGTTGTTAGGAGACACGTTACCTGGACGTTCTAGGAACATTTGGGTGTTTGTGAGGTGAGCTGGAATGTGGTTAAGCAACTGGGTAAGCGTGGTAACGTCGAAAGGAAGTCACTGCTTTGGCACAGGGATTCAGAACATCAGCGCGTAAAGCTCTTGAAGCATTTTGGATCAATTCCAAAAAACCAAAAATGTGCCGCAAGGAGGAGTGTCTTGCTATCACGCGTGACCTCGCACCATACCTGCCAACGTATCTAGTCAATGCTGTTATGTTTAGGAGTAAATAATAAGGGCAAAGCTCTCGGCGTTGGTCAATCCCTAAGGAACGCGCAGTGCATTAGACTTCACTAAGATTCGATGAAGGTGACTGAATGCAAATCCGGCCTTT